TGGCCATTGAGAATGTTTTGTTTCCTTTCCCCAACTTTCTCAATGCAATTAAATAAGAGAAAGCTTCAGATTTTACTGGTGTGTAAATTGATACAGACTGTGGTTCAGCCTGAATTATCAAAGTAATAACAAAATAAAGGTTGATACCCTCTTAAAGTATTGAGTATTATTAAAGTATTGGGTGCTATTAAAGTATTGGGTAGTATTCGGTTGTAACAGGAGAAATCCTCATTTTTGTGAATACTTTAATTTTAAATAAACCCATTTCCCAACTAAATTCTGAATTAAGGTTAAAGTTGATGATTTTTGTTTGGCATCTCTTATTCTGCAGAAGACTTGGAACAATTTAAGTGGGGAAAATGCAGCAAGTTCCAGAATTGCAATCAATCAGTGCATCTTGCTTGCAGTTACTACAGATGGTCAAGTAATCTTTACTGGAACAGAACGTGATGATACTTCAGATCTCAGGACAAAGTAGATCATGAATATTCTTATAGATTGCAGTACTCAGTTTGTAGTGCTCTCTACACTGAGTCAAAAAGTTGTGGATTTAATCCCATGTCAGGATTTTGAGTTCCTCATCTAGCCTGACATGTCAATGCAGTGCTAGGAGGATGCTGCATGTCGGAGGTGCAGTAGTTCAGATGGGACGTTAACTGAGGTCCTGTCTGCCTGTTCAGGTAGACATTAAAGATCGCATGAAGCTATTCAAAAATAGAAGGGAGTTTCTCCTGGTGTCCTGGACATCAATCTACCAGTTAAATTGCTATTCACTTCAATGGCTGTTTGTGGGAAATTGCTGTGCACAAATTGGCTGCCACGTTCATCTAATAAATACACAGTAAACATACTTTACAATAAGTGCCGTGAAGTGCTTTGAGATGTTTTTGATGTTATAGGCGCTATACCAAAATGAAGTTTGTTTTGATTATAATTGCTTATAGTGTAGTTTGGAAAGTAAATCAAAGTAAATTCATCAAAACAACAGGATTGAACTTATTCTGTGGGTGAAGGAAAAGTGATATCTTTATTACGTTTCTGAGATGAAAAACTTTTTCTTGCAATTAGTTAATGGCTTGAAAAATAAGATGTTTACTCCAGTAACCAAAAGTGTACCATGCCAATCCGTAAGAGCTCCTCCCCAGCTCTCCTGGCCAGGAAATAGCTGAGATGGTCAAATTGCGATTAATCTTGTAAATATACATTGACAGTTTTCTGCAGAGTGCAATGTAGAAGATGCACAATAAAGACTCCTGGGATATGAATTAACATCCTGGGAGCAGGCTGACCTGAAAATGTTCTCTCATCAGTTGTGTGGTCAGCACCACAAGTAGCATGAATCGAATGGCAATTTTTTTTTATCATAGCATTAGGAGAAGGCCATTCAGGCTGTCCTGCTATTTTAATAGATTTTGCCAGATCTTTTAATCCCATACACACCAATGGTCAGGTCCAGTTAAAATGTTGAAAACCGGATAGAAATATGTCCATTTTTGAAATGTTCCAGCTGTGGTGCTTTGCGTTTCCGCTGGTTCAGTCATCTCCCCAATGTACTGTGATGAAATCATAGTGTGGGGTGTACTGACATGCCACACTGTGTTTTCCAGTGCAGCAGTGGAGAATTGGGTTGTAAATCTTTTTACAAAGCTAATAATGAAACCACAGCAGCTAGGGGAAGGATGAGGTGATAGTAATCCCGTTCAAGAATTCAGAGGAGGTTTACAACCTTTTCTGCTCTTGTTTGGACCACAAAGCACAGCTTGAGTGTTCTTTGCTCCCTTTGACTCTGTTCTAAATTGTTCAACAGACTTAAACAATGAAGTAATGACTGGTAGGAAATTTAGTCTATTCTAGGTAAATGAGAGCCTCGCCTCTGAGTCAGGAGGTTATGAGTTCAAGCCAGCTTCAGAATTTTGAGTTCATCGTCTTGGCTGACACTTGGATGCAGTGCTGGGGGAGCATTGGATTGTTGGAGATGCCACCGTTTGGATGAGATATAAACTTGAGGCGTAGTCAAAAGGGGAAAGGACTTTCTCCCTGTGCCCTGCCCAACTATTCCCCAGAGAGAAAAAAAAGTTATGTATTTCATGGCTGTTTGTAGGATTTTGCTGTGTGCAAATTGGCTGCTACGTTCTCCTACGAATACAGTAACTAAACTTTACAGAAAGTTCTGTGCTTTGAGACTTTTTGACATAAGACGTTGCAACAGATGCAAAGATTTTTTATGGTATTGGAACATGGCCTCATGTAGTGTACCATGGGCAACCAATATTAAAGTTAACATTGTACAGACAACAATAACATCAAATTACATTCGTATAGCGCCTTTAATGTCAGAAGGATGTCCCAAAGCGCTGGCCAGTCAGGGATTTGGACCCGAGCAGGGATTTAGGATCAGGAGGGATGGAGGACAGAGAGGGCAGGGGTAGGAGGGTGGCTGAAAGGGCGGTTGAAGAAGAGGGTCTTGAGACGTGCCTTGAAGGAGGCAAGGGAGGGTGCGAGGCGAAAGGATTGTGGGCTGGAGTTCCAAAGGGTGGAGGCAGAAAGGCTGAAGGCCAAACCGCCCATGGTGTAGTGGGCCAGGGGGGTAAGTGGAGCAGGCTGCAAGGAGCCTGCTGAGTGGAGGAGCAGACAGATTGATAAGGGTCACAGAAACAGGAAGTGACAAGGCCGTGGAGGGCCTTGAAGGCGGGGATGAGGATTTTGAACTCTATCCTCTGGGGGATGGAGAGCCAGTGGAGACGGGCAAGGGTGGGAGTGATAGGACCATGGAGCCTGGTGCGGGAGATGATACGAGCTGGCAGGGTCTGGATGATCTGCAGCTTGTGGAGGGAAGAGTTGGGAAGTCAATGTTTTCCCCATTTAAATTAAAAGTTTGCCATGGGGAATGTCTGGAACAAAGTAATTCACCGCTTAATGCCATTTAACACTTTTTAATAAGTTGTAATTGTGGTTTAATATTGCTATCTCTGGAAGCTGTCCAATTGTGGTGTGGTCCAGTACCTATTTCTATAAACTCTAAGTGAGCCTTCCTAAGCTAAGAAAAAAATCTCCCCACAGTTAACGAAGGCAACATAAAGAACTGAAAACGAATAATAAAGTAGAAAGGCTTTCATCAATATATTTATAATAAGAGTACAAGTGTCAAAGGTACTAATTTAATTTCATAAAGCAGACTTTGTTCAAACTTACTTCTGTTCAACAAGAGTACATATCACAGCAGTCAATTTGTCACCCCCACCACCCCCACTCCCACTCCCACCATTTTCACAGGGTTTGGCTGTTAGGAGAACAACAACATCATCTTGCAGTTATGTATTGCCCTTCACGTAGGGTAGCAACTCGGAAGCTTAATCAAGAAGTGTTGTCGCAGGATTTGGTTGTCGGGGCAGCGGTTTTGCTGGGACACGGGGCCTGTCCAGCGAAACCCAGGACTGTTGGGAGCGAGGCCACTGGTGCCCTCGCCTCCACACAGAGGTGAACCCCATAGCTTGAGCACCTCTGCTCTAAAGCATCGAGCCTTTGGTATAAACTGAAGGAGACTGATACATCGGAAAAGAGAGCTTTAGCGTCTTCTGTGCAGTTAATTTGTTCAGGCTGCAACTTTGTAATTTTTCCAATTTCTTCTCTTACGCTCACAAAAGTGAATCTAACAGGCCCCCGTGTGGCATTGTTTATTACTGCAGACAGTGTTCAGATCACCAGAGGTTTGGAATGAAGCCTCTTCAGCCCATTAGATCTTATTCTCCTAGAATACCGATCCGATTAAGGCCTTCCCATCGCAGCATTAGGCTGTTTCTTAAATGACTGGCATTTTGACCACTACCACCATTCCAGCTTTTGGTTGCCCTCTGTCTGAAAATGGACTTCCTGGTTTCTCTTCTAAAGTTGCCCTTCACGATCCTGAGCCTGGTCCCTTCTGGTGATGCTGCTGTTCAGTGAGGATAGTGGATGGTTATGAAACGCACTGGTATCCATCCCTCTGCCATATTCTGTACAGTGAGGAACCTAACCGATATTAATGTTATGAGGGTACAAACACCTTTCTTTCCTCTTTAAATTGAAAGTGGAGATTCCTCACTTCTACACAGGCAGAGGACAACTTTCCAAGTGTCTGCAAATTGCATAATAATAATCATCTTTTCATTTGATATAGCGCCTTTCACATAATGTCTTCAAGTGCTTAACAGGAATTAAATTATTATTATATTATTATTATTAAAGAAATTTACAGAAAGCAGCCTTCAACGAGGCTGCATTTGAGAATTTGCCAAATTCTGGACGCTCTGAAGTGTAACATAAACAGAGTAAATCTAGACCCAGGTGGATTTCCTCTCTACAAATTTTTTAATTGAATGAAACTTGATGCAATGAGCTTTCAAACATCTAAAATCAAAATGAATCTTTTGGTTTTGCAAAATTGAACGTTTCAAATGGCTTGGAAATCAAGGTTTGTTTTTTAAATGGTGAATTTTCTATCAAGAATGGCCGAAAAATGGTGTTTTATAAATATCATCCTCTTAGACTCAATTTAATTGTGTATAGGATCCATTATTAATAATAATATAATAATATTTGCAGTTGATATAGCACCTTATCTTTGAGACGTCTCAAGCGCCGCACAGAATATACTGTAAAGTGAACTAACTGTATATTTTATGGGCGAAACCCGGCAGATAATTGTGCACAGCAATGTCCCACAAACAGTCGTGGATTGAGTGACCAAACTTATTATTTGTTTGTAAAAAAGAGAGAAACAGAAACAGCTAGAAATAATGAGAGAGAAGAGAGACAGACGGAAAGAAACAGATAGATAGATAAGAAATAACTTGCTTTACTGTAAAGTGTAGTGACTGTGTAGGCGATTGCTGCAGCCGATATATAACAAACAATAAAAAAAAGCGTGTAACTAATATCATTTTTGTTTCCTGACGAGATCTTTCCTTTGAGGTAAGGAAATGTACCAGGCATTTAACGTTTCTGTTTGTTTCCTCGCACAGCATATCAATAACGACCACATCCATGGCGAGAAGAAGGAGTTTGTTTGCCGGTGGCAGGATTGCTCTCGAGAACAGAAGCCATTTAAAGCCCAGTACATGCTTGTGGTGCACATGAGGCGACACACTGGGGAAAAGCCACACAAGTGCACTGTAAGTCCTGTTCATCAAATACACTGCAGTGTATAAGTCACTGAGAGGATGTATCCTGTTGCCAAGAGCAAAGTGATTGAAAATGTGTATCCTTTATAAGGCAAGTTCCACAGTAAAAAGATATAATAGAATCATATAAATCACAACTCAGCAGAAGGTCATTTGGTCATTGAGCCTACATTGGTGTTAGCTCATCCTATTTAGCTGTCTACTCTAATCCCAAATCTCCATTCTTACCCCATACCTTTTTATACTGTTTCTCTTCCAATACTAATCTAGTTCTCTTTAAAATGTTCTTATGGTCTTAGCTTCTCTGGTCACTTGTGGAAGAGTATTCAGTGTTCAAATAAACCCTTTTCAAATATTTATTCTAGTCTTTTACCCCCTTGACTCTTCCAAATGATAATCCTGATCTCATGCCCCCCTTGTTACCAATTCGCCAACAGCAGCAATAAGCTTTCACTATTTAAAACCTTTGCGTTGTGACTAACAAGAAAACACATGTTCTTCTCCTCTGAATTTTGAAAGCTATTTTATTTCTGAAGAGTTTTATTCTACCAATTTAGTAGTGATGTGTTAACATTGTGCGTCTGCCTTGGCTAATTCCAGAGATGATTAGTTTCTTGCTTCTTCGGAGGGTGAATGGTCTTGTCTCATTCTGTGCATCTCTAACTTATTTCGGACCACGTAAAAAGAAATGATTAATGGAGAAAGGACAACAACAGCACTTATTTCTAAGACATTTCTCACTCTGCTACTTGTACTGAGCAAATGTAGCTGTAAACATGATTCGGGTCAACAGCTGCTTTTTTCCTTCTGTAAATTATTCAAAACCCACATTCTAAATATGTTTTCCCACCTGAGTCTCTGACCTGCAACACAGATGAAATAAAAAATTAAGATAATCCTCCATTCTAACAAGATCACAATTAAAATCATCTGAGTAAAAAATGGAATATCAACAGAGGGTTACAGAGGAGCAAGCAAAAAATGGGATTAGGTTAGGTAGTTTGTGTGAAGAAAAACTTTATTGGGACTGACATTCTATTACTACTCTTATCAATTGAAAATTCTGTCTAATCAGATGTTGGGAATAGTGAGTGAAAATTTGAGGTTCATGAAATGTATCACATCAGTTGGGCTGGAGTTAGATGTCTCCCTCCCTTCCTTCCTGCCTCCCATCACTCATGTCAATATTGCAGGCGGAACAGCTGAATATACAGCACAAATGTTGCATGCACTGCAAGTTTCAAGTGTGTCTCTGCAGGTTCTGATAAACATTGCCACAACTGACATTTAACATAGGCTCTAGTCTTGGAACATTCCCGATAAAGTTGCTTAGCTCTTAGTAGTGTTGAAAGTGCCAGTAATGATCTGCATTTAATGAACTACTGAAAAGTTATTTTTATGCTTGAGGGCAAAATATTGTATTTCTGTCCATGTAAATAACGTTAGCAGATTAATGACAAAGGTAGCACTTGAATAAAAGCATTTTCCAAGCAATGCCATTATTCATCACAGTGTCTTAGAATTCTGAACCCAGACATTAAGACATTGAATCTTGACATTGAGCCTGAAATATAATGCGTTGTTAAATGGATTTTTATTGAATGATTAAAAAAACTATAGTTTTGAACTTCACAAAAGCAGTGAACCAAACTTGACAGGTGATTTTATTGTGTGTGGTTAACATTTTTACTGTCTTTTTCACATACTGCAAATCCACTTCTGCAGTTACATTTGTACACTATACTGTATTCATATCCTTACAGACCTACGTACCATTTTGAGTGAACCCTAGTTGCTAAGGTTATTTATCGGTGAATTTTGCAGATATATATGTTTAGGAATAATGAACCCAGCTCCAACCCAAAATTGAGCCTCACAAGGATGTCATGAGGCAATTGTGGTTTCTTGCAAGAGATGCACTTTATCCAGCTTTGAGGCACCATTTACTCTATTGCTTTGCAGACGACTGCTTTATCAGTCCATAGTAGTACTAGACGTTCCCAGCATCTACAGGGAGATTCACATTTAGCTAACTGGAGTGTCAGCAAGCAAATGGATGTTCTGTGGTCAATAATGTAGGTGTGCATTCAATGCAATGTCAAAAGCAATCAACTGGATGATGGAAGATCACTTACTACATGTTTGGTTTCTACAGTTTGAGGGTTGTGCAAAGGCCTACTCCAGACTAGAAAACTTGAAAACCCATCTGCGGTCTCACACTGGAGAGAAACCGTATGTCTGCGAGCACGAGGGCTGTAACAAGGCTTTCTCCAATGCATCTGACAGAGCAAAGCACCAGAACAGAACTCATTCAAATGAGGTAAGCCATCAGCAAATAGGACCTTATAGATGCAGCACATCTGGGCTTATCCTGCTTCGGTATATGTTACTGATTGTTTTGTAACTTTTGATTTTTATTATTTAAATGGATGAAGCAAATAGAATAAAGTTCAGAGAGCAAAGGCAGAATGGCTAAAAGCCTGTTCGCTGATGGTGGAGTGGGTGGGGCGGCGGACATGAAGCAGGCTGATGCTCGTTGAGCAAAGGCAACAGTTGGGTCAGTATGGTTGAAGGAGATCGCCTTCAAAGCCCTCCACGGCCTTGATCCTTCCTACCTCAGTAACCTGCTACCGGATATCGACCTGTCTGCTTCCTCCGCTCAGCATGTGCTGGCCAGCTCTACTTCCACCACCCGGGCCACACCACCATCGGCGATTGGGCATTCAGCTTTTTTGTCCCCACCCTTTGGAACTACATCTCACAGTCCATTCGCTTTGCTCCCTCTCTTACCTCCTTCAAGGCACATCTCAAGACCCTCCTCTTTGACATCGCCTTCGGTCACCCTCTTACCCCTACTTTATTCTTATCCTTCCTGCAGTCTACCCCTCCTGATCCCATCTCCCTGCTCGCGTCCAAATCCCTGACTGTCCAGTGTCTTGGGACATCCTCCCGATGTGAAAGGTGCTATACAAGAGTAGTTTTTGTTGTTGTCACAAGAGTATAGCGAGAGATTATGGAGGGATTTAAAGATAAGAATAAAGATCTTGAACTTGAAATAGAACAATAGTAATGGGATGGTTCCAAAATATATATTGCCTATTAGAGACATCTGGAATCATTACTTGGGGCAAAGTGGCAGAAACCATGCCTACTGATATGATCCTAACTTTTTATTGAATTGAGGTCCTAAAACATCATCATCAAGTCCATCCCGAGCAAAGCTGTAGATTCTAGAGGAAAAATACACACATGAGACAGATCAAGGCAGTATTTTTTTGAAGATTGATGGAAAGCAATTTCAAATGGAACTTTTCCTATTCCAAAATATTGTAATTCTAAGCAAAAAGAATGCTTAGATTTGAAAATGCTGTAGATTGAATGGGAAAGATAAGGGGTTTCATAGTCTCAAATTCCTGGGAAAAGAATGAATTTGAGTATGAGTTCTGATCTCAACACAATGAAGACATGGAAGATATATTTGAAGTTTGGGAGGAGCATGACTTCAGAGAAGCAGTGACCATGGTCGTGTAGGTAAAATTGATAGAGAAGGGAAGGAGCTCACAGTTTGATCCTTTTCATCTGTATTTATGCTTTTCGCTGTACAACGACAACAATATAGTGCCCTTCATGCAGGGCAGCCTCTCGAAGCGCTTAACAGTGGCAGAGCCTGACATCAAGCCGGGGGGAGGGATGAAGTGACCATAATTACAATCGAAGAGAAAGGTTGTGATCTGATAGAGGGGAAGGAGGGGGAAGGCGGAGGGATTGGGGAAGAGTTCCAGAGCTTCAGGGCGTAGTGGCTGAAAGTGAGGCCGTCGAGGGTGGAGCGGAGGGGACAAGGGGCAAGCAGAAGGCCAGAGCTACCTGAGCGGAAGCAGCGGCACTTTTTTTCCCTATGTCTGGATTTTAAAAGCTCTTACTCTCTTTCTTGTGGGAAACCAAAGCTGAAACTTTTTTTTCCCCAATGAACAGACCTTGATTGCTTTTTGCCATTCTAAGTTGGCTTCAGGTGGGTTTTATCAGTCCATAAAAGTTCAGTGCATTTCACGTCAACCATTCTGTGAAAAGTAACTGTGCGAAGTGTAGGAAATGAAGATCTACCCTGTTTGCAGTTGGATTGTCCCTCATACCTCAGGACATAGCTTAGCACATGCAGGTGCTATTTGTCTCTTCGTACACCAACCCGCACTCAAACAGGATAATGCCTTGAAGCGCTTTGCAGAGTACAGGAGTCCTAAGCTGAGGCATGGGCATCTGTTTGCGCATTTAGCTTAATTGCAAGTGAATACATTCAAAAGCATGATTTTCCGTCTTGCACTGTTTCTCTTGTAATAAAACGTTTTGTACTAATACAATTAAATGTTAAAGGCGCAAATTGATTCTCAATAAACATGTGATTCGTGCTTCTGCAATCGGTTACTTAATGTATGATGGAAAATATATATTTTCCTTGTAACAGAATCATTTTTATATTGTAAGAGTTCACTGCGAGGAAGAGTGCTCACCTGTTTTTGATCACTACACAGCCCGGCAGACCTATATCATAGCCCAGTTACGCTGTGAACTTTAGGGTGGTAGATTTGTCATCTTCAATCAGCTTTCCAAACCAACGTTAGAGAATATCCATTCAGCCATGTGGCCATTGTGATGAAAGGTCAGTTTATTTACAATCCCTGCACTGGGGATTTAACAAGAAAGGCCTATAATCTGCCCCTCAGCGCACCTTCATTGTCCGATCTGTTACTTTATCTTGAGCAACACATTCAAAGCAGGAGTTTGAGCATGTGAGTGTCCTTGGAAACCACTTTGAAGCTGGGAAGAAAAATGCAGATCATCCCCTGGTTTGTTAATTCATAATTCTCACCATTCCTAGAAAGAGGTAAGATGTAAACTTCTTTATAAAATACATACCCTTCCTCTCGCTCCCCAGAGTGATTCCAGGAAGGACTACTGACGCATTTCTTCAAAGCTGTTGCCAGTGGTTCAGAGCAGCATTGATGCACCTTTTCAGGGGATTTATTTTATATAATAATAATAATCCTTCCATTTGATATAGCTCTTTTTCAAGTCTTCTCAACGTCTCAAAGCTCTTCACAGAATATAAGGTGAATTGACTGTATATTTGTGGGCGAAACGCGGCAGCCAATTGCGCACAGCAGTATATCACAAACAATCGTGGATTGAGTGACCAAATTATTATTGTGTTTTTTTTCTTGAGGGATTATTATCAGACGTGTGGAGTACCCTACTATCGGTGGCCGGGCCTTCAGCCTCTCAGCTCCTAGGCTCTGGAACTCTATCCCACAGTGCCTTCGCCTTGCTTCCTCCCTTTCCTCCTTCAAGGCCGGTCTCAAGACCTTTCTCTTTGACCGTGCCTTCAGCTCCCCTCTCGACTCTCTACCCTTTCCTCGCTCCCTCCCTTCCCTCTCCTCACCCTGACCATTTCCCCCCTGCTCGGGTCCTGACCCAACTGTACAGCGCCTTGGGACGTCCTCCTGACGTGAAAGGCGCTCAATAAATGGAATCTTGTTGTTGTTGTAAGGAAACTTGCCCAAGGTTTCACCCTGCCGGGAATCGAACCCAGGTCTCTCGCTTGCGAGGCGAGAGCTCTAACCACTGAGCTACAGGACTCCATCTGACTTCTTTTCAGATAAGCTTGAAGCTTTGCATTTATTATGCAATATATATCCATCTTTTGTGTTAGCTTGTAAATATTTTTCTCTTCATAGGACATCCCTGTTCTTTGATATTCTCTTCTGTTTAAGCAGTCAGTTCAGATGCCACTGACGGACTGGTTTGTGTGAGTTTGAGAAAGGGTCAGTCAGAATGAAGTTGGTATGTGAGGGAGTGCAATAAGCGCATGTCTCCGGCAGCACTTCCTTTTGTGCAGTAATGTAGGTGGATTAAGCAAGCAGAAGTATAGTAAGCACAGAGATAGCAGGGTTATTTCCTCCACTTGTAACATTCAACAAAATGTTGGATTTTCAGGCACTTTCATATAAATATTTTACAATACTTCGGTATGTCGTTCATCCTCCCCCATTGTTACAATTGCACCTTTGTTCCACTTTATTCTCCTTTGCCTGCCTCTGAATCCCTCTGCCCGATAACTGATTGAAAATTCTGCTGTACTTGCTTTTGAAGTGAAGACAAATGCTCACTGTACACTTACCAAATAAAAAATCCAAATACTGCCGTGTATCATTACCTTCAATTTAATATCAATTACAAGATTAATGTAGGAGACCTCAAGTCTAGACTTTGAATTAACATAGGCTGACACTCCAATACAGTGTTGGGGGGTGCATTATCAGAGATGCCATCATTCTGATGAGATGTTAAACCAAGGTCCCACAATGTTCAGGTGAATGTTAAAGATCATGTGGCATGCAAGGCACGATATCAAGTATAAGGATTATTTACAATTGCAGGATTGTTATCATAAAAAAAAATGAATTTAGATTTTGTTGCAGAAACGTAAGGCAATTTCAGTTATCTGTAGGAATAAGTTTGAAGTTTTGAAACCATTCAGTTTTTGGAATATAAAACTACATCATCTAAATCGACAGGTACCAGTCAACTTTATGAAACAGTTTAAGAATCAACCAAAACAATTCATGTGATCGGCATTGAAAGGAAGTGTATAGCATGCAAGTTTATTTGTTTTAATTCTCACTTTATCTAACGAGTATTTTCTCTTGGTGGCTACTTTTATTTTTTCCAGAAACCTTATGTGTGTAAGATTCCGGGCTGCACGAAACGTTACACAGATCCGAGCTCCCTCCGAAAACATGTAAAGACAGTTCATGGTCCCGAGGCTCACATCACGAAGAAACAGCGAGGGGATATCCACCCGAGACCACCACCCAGGGACCCAGGCAACCACTCCCAGTCCAAGTCACCTGGGCATCTGCATAGTGGCCTTGGGGAGCAAAGAGACATGAACAACACTACCTCAAAGCGTGAAGAATGTCTGCAGGTTAAGGCCATTAAGACAGAGAAGCCAATGGTATGTCCTCATATTAAAAGTAATCAGATAATGTGTACTTATTCCTGCTGTTCATGAAATTAGAAGCATTTTCAAAACATTTCCAAGGGGGGCCAGTTTTAATGCTCCGTTATCCAAATTGAAAGGCAGCTTTATACGTTCCCTCAGCGAGCTGTAAAGGGGACATGATGGTGGGTACTGGTCTAGGCAGAATTTGGTTTTATTATGGTGTGTTAAAAACGAGGGACAGTATTTCATTGACTGTGGATTCTTCCCTTTCCCACCCCCACGTCCCACTCCCCTATGCTGTTGTATGAACTTCAATCATATTGGAGGTTATATACTTACCTACGTATATCACCATTTATGAGTGTTGTTATTTGTCACTCCTCTAATGAATTGCTGCAATAAAAGAGCCTACTATGATGAAACCAGAAAGCATGAAAATAGGATTTTGTTTGAAGCTAAGTGTTGAGTTATTGGCTGTAAGGATATCTCAGTTATCAGTTACTTATATTTATTTACAATTTGCTGTTCTCTGTTGTAATTTTAAACGGGCCGACTTACAAACATGGCTGTCTGCCAAATACACTGAGCAGCAGAAAAACAAATGGAAATGTTTGGTTTCTCTTTGCGACAATTATTATTGGTGCAAGTTTCAGAGCATCATACGCTGGGAGGGGAAGACTGTTACAAGCACATCTGTGTAAAAATGCTTTTATTTAAATTGCACAACTTTAAGTCAGTCACCCAGAGCTTGAACAGTTTCTCTGGTAAGACTTAACTTCACTGGAAATGTTTTACAAACTATTTTGTTTGATTCTGTCTGAATTGGGTATCCTCTGCTATCTCTGGGTTTGGAATGCTTTTAAGTGTAGTGTAATGGATACCTAGGAGTAATTTCAACGTATTATTTTGGTATTTGAAATAGACTGGTGAACCACAAGAGTAAGCTTGTGCAATCCACAATGATCATATAAGCCTGAGATTGGATTACATCCTCATTTGGGGAGCTTTATTCTAGTTTTTGACTGGCTTTCATGTGAACAGCAGCAGATATCCCAGATATATGTTGATGTTTACATAAGATTATTAATAATTTAATAAATTAGTTTAATTGAGAGTCTATAATTGGTTTCCGTAACATTGTAAGGGATCCAATTTGCAGTATCTGTTAAGGGCATTTAATAAGGGGATGTCCTGCTGGTTTCTGGAAGTACTTCAAATCAACTTCTGAAACAATAACAACTAGCATTTAAACACTGCCACGCTACAAGGGGTAGTGTCTTGGAGCAAAGTGAGAAAATATTGTTAAATACTCTGTATTAGACTTCTGTAGCTATGATATGTTTTTATATTTATTATTGGTATAGACCATATACATTGTTTATTATTTTTTTCTCATTTATTTTCTTTGGCTCCTACTTTGCTGAAAGTGTCCACATGTGTACAACTCCAGGAGGGGTCACTAGATAGCAAGCAAAAAGAGTTTCTGTGTTTTCCCTCTCCTCGAAGGCACTGAGGTCAATCATAACGCCACAGCTCCTGTCCATGCTGAAACAAGATAACCCCCACAACACAGACCAGGGACTGAGCAAAACACCTTCCCAACTGTATGGCTCTGCCAGTTTTGGAAGACCTCACAGAGCCATCAAAGGAGCTTTCCTTTATTTTAATGTGGATGGGAAATGCAGTGTCCTGCGCAGAATATGAAAATGATAAAAATTAATGCACTGAGTCAATATTGTAAGCAAAGTCATACATTTAAGATAATCACGAGAGGAATTAAAGGGGAGGTTAGCAAAAAATAATGTTTATACAGAGGGGATTAACTGTGGAATTCGTTGCCACAAAGTGTAGTTGAATCAAAGTTCGTCAATTCTTCTAAATGGGATACATGAAAATGAAAGTCATGGAGAGCGAGCAGAAGAACAGGATTGGATTGAGTGGCTCATGTGGAGGAAAATATTAGCGCAGACTCGATGGACTGAAAAGCCGGCATCTGTGCTGTTACATTTTATGAATGCTGTTTGCTCTTAATTGCATCTACTTTGTCAGTGAAGGAATGGAGTGCTTAACTCCCATGTTTTCATTCATTCTGTACTGCTCATTAACCACTACTAACTGAAAGTAACTCTCTTTCTTTTTCTTGCTCTTACTAACTGGCTGATCTAACTGTCGGGTGCTGCGTCATTTCTTATTCTGTCTTCCTAAGGACAGTGGGTAATAAGGTGAGGAGATTTTGTTACCTGCCTCTTTCCCCTTTGCTATATAAAGTGCAGGATGTAAGTTGTAATTCACAAAGTAAACACAGATTTCAGCTGTGGTTGAATAAATACCCTTGACTTAACATAATGGGAGCCTTGGTGCTCCAGTGTCTTGAAGGCCCATCAATATGTATGTTTGTGCCCCAAATGTGAGCAAATAGACCAATGATTGACGAACTCCAATGAGACCAAAGATTGTCTAAATCAAGTCGATTTTTGTATTTAACTTTTAAACAAAACATTGTTCATGACTGTCCCGGGGGAAATAAAAGATTTTAACTGTGAAGTACCACTGAGTTAGCTTCTTACTTTTACTGCTAATCGAGTGCACAAATTATTCTCTTCTCTCTCTTTTGCAGACGTCTCAGCCAAGCCCTGGTGGTCAGTCTTCATGCAGCAGTGAACCGTCCCCCCTCGGCAACAACTCCAGCAGTGGGGTCGAGCTCAATCTGAACAGCGGGGGCAGTGTGGGAGATCTCAGCGCCATTGATGAGGCACCAATCATGGACTCTACAGTTTCCACAGCAACTACAGCATTAGGCCTTCAGGCCAGAAGGAATTTGACAGGGACCAGGTGGATGGAACAGCTAAAGGTGGAGAGGTTGAAACAAGTCAATGGACTTCTACCCAGAGTCAACACTATCCCAGCTACTAAAAACACAACTTTGCCTCCTCTTATAGGAAATGGTAAGGAAGAATCTTCAGCATCTTACCTGTACAAAAACAAATCTTTAAAACTGCAAGAAGGCAGAAATCTGTACGCTCCATTTATTTTCAACACACCTGGCTTACCGACGAGCTGTGCAGTTATTATTAAGAATAGTTCCATTAAGATTAGCGTGATGCCCTTGGGTTTCCATTGCTGGAGAGACGCAATTTACTAAGTGATGAACTTTTCCTGCAGCAAGACATTGTTGCTTTCCTCAGTGGCACTTATTGATATTTGTGCTGGCGTGCAGAGAGAAATTCTATGTGCGTTTGTACTGCAAGTTGTGGCCTGCTTGGCTGGAGAGGTTCATACTTGCAGATCTGCTGTTGCAACTACTTTGCAGATTTAGTTGATTTCTGGATTTTGGCTGTGACAGAAAGGATGCTTGAGCTGAGAGTAGTGGCACTGATTGCTACCCAAATAGTGAGTGCACAGTTGGCAGGTATGTAACCTTTCATTCTGCACAGTGAAGAAAAATCCCACCATGGCATGGCGGGTAAAGGCACTGTACTTACCCAGAGGTTCGAACTCTGGTTTTGCTGGTCTTGGGCAGTTAAAGCACTATTACAAAACGTTATTGTTGGGTATTAGAGGACAACTGGTTCTTGTGGAGCCATCGTCCAATAAAAGAATAGACAGTCAACCATACTCAGGAGAGAAGGGAAAGGGGTAAAATTTGAAGAGGAAAAAAACATTCGTAGAATTAGGTAATTCTACTCCCTCCACAAACAATGCAACACCGACCCAATGGTGGAATGTTCTCCATTCTCTCTTCTCTCCTGGAGAAAACCTCCACAGGCATAGTCTCTGAACCTCAAAGGCAAACAAGCACAACTACAAAACAGTATTCCATTTCCAGATCTTCACTGTGTAAACCTAGCTCTCTTCCCTCCACAAGTCACATCTCCCTTTTTCCCCACCTGCCACCAAGGCCTAGAGCATAGAGATCATTGGGCTCATTCTGGTCTTCTTTTAAAGTCATTACCATTCAACCTCATCTTCAAATCCCTTCAAGCCCAAGCACCTCCCTACCTCTTTGACCTGCTTGCTCCCCAACCCACTACCTGCTGCTTCGGCTCAATGCCTCCAGGCTCCTGCTTGTTGCCCGTGCTCTCCATTTCCATCATCGGTGGCCACAATTTCAGCCACTATGCCCCAAAACTCTGGAACACTGGTCCTTTATCCCTCTGCTTTGCCCGTCACCCCCGCACCCCCCCCCACCCACCCCGTCTTTAGGTCACACCTGAACACCTTCCTCTTTAACCGTGCCTACCGTCACCTCCCCCTGGCTCAGTGAGATGCTCCATCACTGTCAAGCGCTCTCAGATGCTACCCTGCATGAGGGGTATTATATAAATGCAAGTTATTATTACTGTTATTATTGAACCATAAAGAAACAAAAAAGGACTGTGACTTCTTAATAGTTTAGTGCGTTACAGAGCCATACAAGCACCAGAGAAATCCCAGATTCCATCTGAGTTAGCTGATCTCATCTGGGGCAGCAGTTGAGACACTACAACTGTCCTCAACGCCCAGGTGAGGTGAAAAAAAATATCCAGGTTCGTTCTCCTGAACTATTCAGTGTGGAGAGAATATCAGCTTCAAATAAGAGTTGCTGTACATGACTAGATGCAGGCTAGCATGTTCCCGTTCAAACCAATGCAAGCCACAGACACAGCTTGCTGACTTGACGTTTCATCGCTGACTCCTTTCACTCTGAGAACAACGTTTTAAATTACAGTCATCCAAAGCGTGTGTGAGTTATGCACATCTTTGATGTTTGTGAAAGAACAACATTGTGTCACGGATGAGATATTGTATCCAATCATTTAGTCTAAACACAGGATAAGCACTGGTACACTTCAGAGATTCCTTGTAGAGCAGATCTGAGGAACACTCTAACATCCTGCTCCAGATTACATGTTTATTGGGTTAACACATTTCACTTATGACAAATATGACTTCATGACCGTTTCAGATACCACATCTCCATTAGGCAGTGTTTAGACTTCTTAACTAACAGACATTTATAAAGTAATTGCTTGAAATGATTTTTGTCTGGTTTCCAAAAACAGCATTATAAAGGGGAGATAGTGGGCGACCGATTTTGGGAAAACATTTGAAAGGTAGGAAAACAGTTGAATGGTGGGACATAATATGCAAAGACTACAGATTTATTTTGTTTTACCTCTTATAAATGCAAGCAGTCTGCCCAAGCATTTAATTTGCTCACCTAACTTTTTTGAATCTATCTTGAGTTAAGTGTCTTAGTGAAATATTGTATTTATTTTAATCAATTTCTCTTAGATAATGGAGCAAAATGTTATCAATCAAACAAAATGAGCGACTGCAGTCTGCTATAGCATGGGTTTTGCATTGTCCGAAAGCTTGTGTGCTCCTTAATGCAACTACTAGATTATCTCAATGTAAAATATTACTATCATCCCCTCTTTAAGTTCACCATCTTCCCACTCCATTGTGATTTAACATTAGCCATACTGTTGTTTCAAATTCTAAATGAACATTAAACACATCTTATCATTTAATCACAGGCTCTCAGCTGGACAGCTCTATTGTTGGAGGATCCATGACTATATTGCCAAATAGAAAAGAACTTTTGAACTCAGAGATCACAACGTTGAACAAGCTCAATGAACGACGTGATAGCACCACCAGTACTATTAGCTCTGCCTATATGAGCAGCCGCAGGTCTTCTGGTATTTCACCATATCTTTCCAGTAGAAGGTCCAGTGAGTTCTCCCAGGCTGAAGGCCGACTACACAACCTGAGTGTTGCAGATTCCTACGATCCCATCTCAACAGATGCATCAAGGCGGTCAAGTGAGGCCAGTCAATGTGATGGGCTACCTGGGCTACTGAATCTTACCCCAGCACAGCAATATCGGCTGAAAGTCAAATATGCTGCAGCCACAGGTGGACCACCACCAACTCCATTGCCAAATATGGAGCGCATGAGCCTAAAGACCAGGATGGCTCTGTTTGGTGACTGCAGAGAGAATGGCGTATCTCCCTTTACCCAAGGAAATATTTCTCGAAGATGCAGTGACGGTGGTGTCAGTGGGTATGGCAGGAGGCTTCTGTTACCTCATGATTCTTACGGGATAAGAAGAGCCAGTGATCCAATAAGGACTGCAGTAGATCCTTTTTCTTCACCTCGAGTACATCGATTTAACAGTCTTAACAATGTTAACCCTCTCCCTGTGCCTCCATCAATGGAACGACGCAATCTCAGTCTTCAGAACTACACTCGCTCTGACGGAAACCTCCATCGGAATATCTACTCTCCTTGCCCTCCAAGTATTAGTGAAAATGTTGTCCTGGAGGCCATCGCTATGGAATCATGCAGCCTTATTGATGAGGATATCCTGCCAGATGATGTAGTTCAGTACCTAAGTTCACAGAACAATAAATCGGGCAGTAATAATTTACAGAATCCCATAAATATGCCAAGTCAGGACATATACAGCCATTTGCAAAACATACAACCCAATGAAATACAACAAGATATCACAGGAATTTTTCCTACTTTCGACCAGTCCCATTCAATCAACAATTCGGTGAACCAGCAGTACCACAGCCCACAAGTAAACTCTGAAGCTAATAAGGATGATCTGCCAATTCAGTGGAATGAAGTAAGCTCAGGAAGTGTCGACATGTCACCTCAGAAACAAAAGTATGGGCAGCGGTCCATGGTTTCAATGCAGCAAAGCCGTGCACTCGGGCTATTCAACAACACAATGAATCCTCAACAAAACTTGCCAAAGGGTCAACAGAATGTGTTTACAGGTCAACAAAATGGCTTTCAGCAGTACATGGAAGTGGCTCCGTACAGTGTTCAGCAGAGCAATACTAATGCAGGGAATTCTTTCAATCTCCAGTTAAGTAAAGGACAACAGCATAACCGAAACCTGAACAGGCAGATGTTGACTTCTGCAGGCATTGATTGCTCTTACAATACAAACTCAGCGACGCAAGAGATAGGGTTGAACTGTTTACAGTCCAATAGCAGCCAAGATGGGTCTATGCTCTCTTCCGTGCCAACGGGTCACCAAGCAGTTAAGATGTCCGATGGAATGCAAAACAGAAATATGATGGTGCAGGATTTCTTTCAGTGTCAGCAAACTGCGAATCAGCAGAGAAATGAAGGGTTGCACTTCCATGGAATGAATAGACCTATTCAAATGAACGTCAGTGGCTCAGATCTTAATGGAGCAAGTAGTCAGCCACCTCAAGCTGCACTGTTTCCAGGACTTCAAGGTTCTCAGCACATTTCTCAAAATTTAGGAAATCAACCATTTGGATTGTTCGTGACAAAAGCTCATCAAGTATATGCAGCTCATAATGGCAACAAGCAGCAGCAGCAGCAGAGTCTACTGACAAGTAATACGCCACATCAGACCATCAATAATATTAACCAGATGTTAAGCATGACCAGTATTAAGACCGAGATGCAGGATCAGATTCAGACCTTTCGCAGCTCCTGTGCTAATATGCAGCATTATGCTGGTCAAGCGTATGACCAGAACTCTAACTGCAAACAGCAAGCTATGAAAGCTGGGTTGTTCACTGCTCAGGAGGTTAGCTGCCAGCTGCAACAGGCTGGCCATTCAAAGTCTTCTGAACTGCTTTCCCCAGGTGCCAACCAAGTGACTAGCACAGTTGACAGCAATAGCCTAGACACTCTACAGATTGATTTTGATGCCATCATAGATGATGGGGACCATGCCAGCTTAATTTCAGGAGCCCTGAGTCCAAGCATTCTGCAAAATTTCTCCCAGACTTCTTCCCGCCTCAACACCCCCCGCACCTCTCTCACATTCCACAGCATGCCAGTGAGCACATCAAACATGGCCATTGGCGACATGACCTCCTTGCTCACGTCACTTGCAGAAGAAAGCAAATTTCTTACCATTATGCCATAAGACTTAAAAGAACTGAACATCTACATACAGACAGGGTCCTATTATCTTTAGTCACCTATGTACTCTTAGCCATTTCATCCCACCTATGGGATGCATTTCCATTATATCCCTTTTATGGGATAAAGACATCTGAATTTAGGTAACCCCTATGTACCATGCTTGGGAGAATGGGTCTTCCATTGCAGTTTTGTTTTGAAATGAACGGCATCAGTGTTGTTTTTTTTTAAGTTAGTGGGTATTTTTTTACTCTCTAACAGTGTTACTGAGAAAAGGATTTGGGGTAAGTGTTTAATATGCATGTTTAGAACACTAAAGTTAAATAAGGCCAAACATAAGCACTGTCTTCTATAGTTATCATTACTACCGTAAGTTTTATGCATTTTGTCAGATGTTAACATTTTCACAAGAAGGTGTGTTTTGCTGCAGGGTAGTTATTTTAATGAACGAGTATCCTTGTGAAATTGTTGACTGATTTGACCAGCTTCGTAAATGAAGCCACCAAAATTACCTGACTCAGGTAGGTCTTTTATTTGTTCTTAATAGTCTGTTGACCTACAGTTGTTTTAAAAGTGATGTGAAAGGCTTTACAGCCAGCCAGAATGCTTGAGTGTCTTTATTTGATAATGTTATATCAGACATTTTTACTGTTTTAACTTGTTTTATTTGTACTGTTATTTTGTTTAATTCTCTTGTCAGGAAAGCCATATGGAGGCAGGTACTAGTTTTAGAACAATTTTAATGATTGTTTTTTTTGTTTGGGCTCCATAGTACTGTATGCAGTCTAAAGTAGCTGTGATCATTTCTTAATTGTTAGTCTAGTGAACTAGAATGTATTGGTTGCCCGTCATGAAAAGCAGCATGTTACTTGCTGAATACATGTCTATTAGGTATGTGCCTTATTTTTTGTGTCAGTTTTACACATAGGGACCAAGGATACTGCCAAATCTCTGATTGATAGATGTGCTTGATGTTAAGCAGTTAACACTCCACTGTTTAGTATTTCCTCTCTGAGGTGTCACGTCTGATGCCCTAGAATCTGTGTATTAAAGCTCATGAATTCTTCAGTTTAAAAACCTATGCTATTGTGGTGTATCTTTCAAACTGGTAAAATACACACAATACCTTCAATAATTTCAGTATTTTTTAGACTTCTTTTGGTGGAAAAACATTAATAAAATGTAATCCTCTTAATGTAAATACATAAAATATAGAGTTAGGATTGCCATGAAGAATTTTAGTGATATTGTTGACATTTTCAGCTGTGATCTGTAAGGCCCACGTAGCCTTTGACCAGACTGAAGTGTGTAGCAGTGTGTATGTATACAATGTACTTTTGCTTTCAGAACCACTTAGCTATTGTACAACTGAGGAACAAACATTTGTACAATTTTAATAAACTTCTCATTCTTAATTTTTCCAAGTGCATCTTTTGTAGATTGTGGCTTAAACAGGGTGCTGCATAACTTGCAAATAAATGGCAAGAGGTAAGAATTTCTATTCAAACATTTTAATATTAAATACTTTGATTTACTTATATCAATAAATAATAATCCTTGCATTTGATATAGTGCCCTATCATGTTGCTGAGACATCTCAAAGCGCTTTACAGAATATATTGTAAAGTAGATTCACTGTATTTTGTAGGTGAAACTCGGCAGCCAATTGCGCACAGTAGTATCCCAAACAGTTGTAGATTGACACACTTTTTTTGAGGGTGTGGAGTGGGGAGGGGCGGGATTATTACAACAACAACTTGCACTTATATAGCGCCTTCCACTCACAGTTTAACAGTATTAACCCCTGGAAAGCGATCTGCCAATCGACCTAACAATCGGGTTCCTACTTACTGCTAGGTAAACAGAGGTATGTGGAGTAAGAAATCTTGCCTACCACCCTGCCGGGGAATCAAACCCAGGTCCTTTCACTTGCAAATCAAGCGTGCTAACCATTACACTACTGTGAGAGATAGGCTGAATAAAAATGGAGTGGACTATAGTAGCTCAAAAGAAGCATAGGTTAGCATTGGTTTAGCTGTAAACCTTTTGAACATCTGTTCACCTGCCGAATGTATCAGCCTGGTTTGGCTGGTTGCCACTCTCTCCTCTGAGTCAGAAGGTTGTGGGTTCAAGCTCCAAGCCGGGACATGGGACTCACGTAGTCTGAGATGGCACACCGGTGCAGTGCTGGCAGTTTGCTGCATTGTTGGAGGTAGAGTCCTTTAGATTAGATGTTAAACTGAAGTACTGTCTACCTGTCAGGTGATCATTAAAGATCTATTGGCACCATTTAAAAAATGAAGAGAGTTTCTCCTGCTATCCGGCCCAACAATCCCCCAAATAAAATTGGTCATTCACTTCATGGGTGTTTGTGAGACTTTGCACTGTACAAAACACAGTCACTGCACTTTACAGTACACTATAAAGCTCTTTAGAACTTGTCCCATACCCAAATGCAAAACCAAGGTTTTGAACCTTTTAATTTGACACTTTACTTAGCAAAATATTGGTGACGTATTTGTCTATTTGAGTTTTCCTAATTCATGAAATCAAACCTCCCATTATAGCACCAGCTCAGGATATATATATTATATAATATATATACGTACAAACACACACACACTCACACACACCGCATGACTGCAAACATTCAAATCTGATTTTCTTGTACCCTAAGAATTAATGTATTAGGATGTACAAAGAATCAGTGATGGGTGTGGACTTGCATTTTTCCTTTTGCCTCTGCCTCAGTTGCTTCCAACCCATTTCATCTTAAAAGAACACCTGAGAATCGGATGAAGACATCCTTTTGGCTCATTTGATCTCATCCTTCCAGGATATCCAACCTATTGTTCTCCCATTACAGCATCAAGATTTTTTTAAAAAATGAGTCCAGCGTTCAGGCCTCAACCAGCCTTCCTGGTAACCTATTCCAAGACTGTCTGACCTCTGATTTCTTCCAGTGAACCCGCCTTTGATTTCCTCCTGCCCTCCAGGAGTCCTGGCTTTGAGTGTATACCTTCCATGGTTGTTCAATGTGATGTGGAACAGTTATCAGAGGTTATTATTCCAAGAGAGATGATTAAAAAGGTTATATAAGATGGACATATCATCAAGTCCTAATAATTTGTAGCCTATGCAATACCTCTCTGTTTTTAAAAAAAAACTAGACTGCATCAGGCAGTAAATTATATTCCAGTTCATCTTACTTTAGCTATTAGTAAGTAATAGAATCAAAAGTACAAATTGGGGAAGATTTTGGAAAAACACAACTAACCAGGCCCTGTCAGCATGGATTTCTAAAAGGCAAGATCAACTTCACTTGGAATCTTGTGACACTTATATATAATTTGTTGAAGAAATAACAGGATAGATAAAGGAAATTCAGTGGCTGTGGTTTATGTGGATTTTCAAAGTGAGTTTAATAAGATACCGTATAAAAGATGTAGGGCAAAGATTATAGTGCAAGGAATTGAGGGAAATGTGGTCACATTGGGTTGGAGAGTGGAAAGCAAAGAATAGGGTGAAAAGAAAGTTTCTCGGACTTTGGAAATGTAGTCAACAGTGTTCCAGAGGGAACGTCCTCCCGACGTGAAAAGCGCTATATCAAATGCAAGGATTATTATTATTATTATTATCTCTGTTGGGGCAGCTCATAGTTGCTACATATAAATATCATATCTAATAATGATGAAAGATTATTCAAACATATGATAGACAAATAATCGGGTTTGGAGCCTAAAATACTGAGGAAAGCAAGGGTGGGTAGAAAGCTTGAGCATATTTAGACTAAATATATATCATATATATGAACATGATATGGATTTAGGAATAGAGGGATATTATTGAAATTTTCTGCCATCACCAAATTAGAGGCTTTGCATAACTCACTCTTCCTCGACCCTAGACTCCAGGACCACTGCCTGTTCCCCAATAGGCAGTTGAGCCTTCAGCCTTTCTGCCCCCACCCTCTGGAACTCTATCCTAGAGTCCCTCCGTCTCGCTTCCCTACCTTGCCTCCTTTAGGGCCCATCTCAAGACCTTCCTTTTCCACCATGCCTTCAGTCATCTTCTTTCCTCCAATCCTCTTAACTTCCACCCCTCTCTGATTCCAACCTGCAGCTCGGGTGCAAACCCCTCATTGTTCAGCGTCTTGGGGCATCCTACAATGTGAAAGGTGAAATTTGTTGTTTTTATGAGGATTGTGAAAGTCCGCAAGAGGGCAGATAAGATAGCAGAGTGGGGAAATAGGTGCTCAAAATGTGATCTTGTTAGTCCATTTTGGGTGTGAGAATAAGGAAAGGAAATTAACCTTAAATTTTAAGATTTTAAATTGTGTAGAAGAGTAGAGGAACCTTATAGTTGTAGAAAATGCCATATAAAAGGTGGTTTGAAGTATTGAGGGAAAGCACTAATGTGTACAAAGGTGTTATTTTGTAGTCACGGATCAGGAGGAATGTTTCTGTAAATATGAACACTGTTAAAACCCTACAATCTTAATTATTTCCCCTGTCTTCCCCTCAAGAATGACTGACCTAAATGGAAAATCCCACCCCTGCTTGAGCTCTGGGAGATGGTCTGAGGCTCTCTGCATGCTTTCTGCACAGTTGGATCCTCTGCATGAGGTGCCTGGCTACAAGACAAAGCCTCCCATCCATTGCCTGTGAGGATGGACCAGAGCCAATATTCAATTAGAGATACAATCAATGCACTCAGTTCATATTTAAAAAAAATATTTGCTTATTCTCATCTTCTGTACAAAATGGTATCTGTGGCTAAGGAACTCCGAAGCATTGTCTTACCTTGAAACTTAAGGACAAGGTCATTATTTGAATTACTGCCCCCAAATTTTGACTCTCCCACTTTTCTTTAAAGGAGAGGGATTCATCAATAGGTTTCTGTAGGTATTCAGGTCAGATTTCAATCCCAAGTATAGATGTACTATTTGTAAAGGTGAGAATTTAACACTCTTCCAGTTTAACTGTTTTCCATCTTTAAAACTGTTTTCCCTTCTGAAGGCACCACTGACCTGCTGGAATGTAGTTCCACATCTGCCTATAGCATTCCCACACTTTGTCAAACTGGCAATTTTTAAGATGAGCCAAGACATTCTTCCAAGGAAAAGGCAACTCACCTCAGCCCCATTTTCTTTCATACAGCTTCCACACTAAGGGTTCATTTCAACAGGAGTCACTGTATGGTAATCTTGTCCATTCCTGATCTGCCCATCCTCTCCTTCACCATTATTAAGTGATAGTCCAGTCACAGTGGGTCAAATTGCCTCCTGTGCTGTAAAGACTTTGAGCTCATTGTCCAAGCTGACACTTCATTGCAGTGCTGGAGTAGTGCTGTATTCTTGGAAGTGCCAACCTTCAGATGAGATGTCATAAACATAGGTGCTGTCTACCTGTACAGGTGGATGTTAAAGATCCCCATGGCACTATTCAAAAAAAGATGGGAGTTTCTCCTAATGGCCAACAATTCCCCCAAATAATAAAAAAAAGTTTCTCATGGTTGTTTGTGGAACATTGCTGTATGCAAATTGGCTGGTGTGTTTGCCTACAAATACACAGTCACTACAATTTATAGTAAATCCTGTAAAGTACTTTAAGATGTTTTAATGTAATAAGGCACTATATCAAATGCAATAAACTTTGATTCCATGACTAAATGTATATCTAAACAGTTGAAGAGTTTACACATGTTGGCTTCAACTTGTACCTGAAGGAATTTTCAATCCACCATGAATTACAGACTGCAACAGCTCCAGTATCTTTGACGGACTTAAAATAATTCTGATGTCTTGCAAGGGACGGAGTCATAATTTTACATTACAACCGTGTTTATTGCGGATTGCGGAATCTCAAAATCCTTAGAATTGAGCTGTAGGTGCAATGGTTACAAAAATACTTTCTTGTTACGTGGATGTGTTCTGCTTCACCAGAAAGCCATCACAGGCAAGAAAATCCTTGTGGGGCTAAGTGTAGGCACTTTGACAATGTGTGTTTAAAGGAGAAATGCCATTACATGTACAAGGAAAAGTTGGCACATTTAGCAACAAGAGGAATTTCACCCTGTCAAATGTTTTGGCAGCTTAACCACTATCAGACAGCAGCCAGCACTCTTAATAATCCCACCAAGTTATTTCTTTCTCAGGTGCACATTTGGGGAGAACTGATAGAGTGTAAAGTGCAAGGTATTGTCGACAAACACAATTAAACAGTGATGGATGGACTGGAGTTAAAACTGTTTGATTGGTCTTACACCATCCTTTCCCTCTGATGCCTAGCAAAATGCAAGGAACCATCATAAGCATCGTAATTATTCTATACTTGCATTAAAACTATGGTTCTTCTGTTTCCTTCTGGCAATCCTTACCCTAAGAGAGGAATTTGCTTTCATAAAAATGAAGTGC